ACACTGTTGCCAGCATCTTCCAGGCAGGAGGCATGGGGATCAAGAGTCTAGCCGGTTCATGGCAATCTTGGTCTTGTCCCTGTACCTCCTTGTGCCTCAGTTTCCAGGTTGAGAATATGGGGCTGTCGAAGGGGACCCCAACCTAGGGGATCCTGTCCTAGGGGATCCAGTCTTGGGGGAGACTGTCCCAGAGGAGCCTGTCCTAGGGGATCCTGTCCTAGGGGAGCCTGTCCTAGGGGATCCTGTCCCAGGGGATCCTCTTCTAGGGACCCCATCTTAGGGGACCCTATCATGGGAATCCTGTCATAAGGGAGAGAGACAGAGAGAGATGGAGACAGAGACAACAGGGACCCGGAGACCCCAAAGAGATCCAACTGAAAGGAAGAGGAGGGAAGAAGGAGGAAAAGCAGGAGCCCGGGGAGCAGAGCAGGGGACGAGATGGGGAGTGGGGGCATCGGGGGCAGGACAGGTCAGCTGGACAGTGGCCACCAGTCACTCAAGGGGCACGGGGACGGCAGTCCCCTGCGAGGGAGCGCTCCTGTGCTGGGCCGAGGGCTCAGAGGCCACTTTGTTCTTTAAACTAGTGCTGGAACAGGCCAATTACCGACCCCCAACCAAGCTTTCCCTTCAAATTCCAAGTTACACTTGCAGTCCTCACTGCTCAGAGCCACTTGAGGGCACTTCAAAGTAACGTTTGGTCCCATTTATGTCTTCAAGCCTTTTCTTTTTGACAGAGAGAGAGAGAGAGAGAGAGAGACCTTGCCTGTGGCAGGCCAGCACTCTGGGAAGGGACAGAGAGAGGGGGAAGGGCAGAGGGGAGAGGGGCAGAGAGAGGTGGAGAGGTAAGGGGGGGGGGGAAGGGCAGAGGGAGGGGGAGAGGGGCAGGGGGAGAGGAGGGGCAGAGAGTATCCCAAGCAGGCTCTACACTCTCAGTGCGGAGCCAGATGCGGGGCTCGAACCCATGAACCGAACCGTGAGGTCGTGACCTGAGCCGAAGTCCAACGTTCAACTGACTGAGCCACGCGGGTGCCCCTGTCTTCAAGGCTTTTAAGCTACATCCATAAGATTAACATATTCTACATGGAATCTACTTTGTCAGACGTTGTGAAGTTTCCAGAAACTTAATTATTATAAACTCAGTAAATGGTTCTTAAGCTCTTCCCAGCGTTCCAACACTGTACATAAAATCGTATATGGTTTCTACCCAAAGCCGCGAGCGTAACCAGGGGCCCAGTGAGACAGTCCGCGTCGGCATCATTTCTATCAGCCAAATTGTCTGCAGTGTGAAAATGCTTAAAATATGAAGCACATACAAATTCTTGGCAAAGATGGTAACGTTTTGAGGTTGATTCTCTTTTAAATTTCTTTTTTAGTTTATTTATTTTTGAGAGAGGGAACACGAGTGGGGGAGAGAGAGAGAGGGAGACAGAGGATACGAAGCAGGCTCCGCGCTGTCAGCACAGAGCCGGAGGCAGGGCTTGAACCCGTGAGCCGTGAGATCGTGACCTGAGCCGAAGTCCGACCGAACCACGGCGCCCCATCTCTCTTGTAAGTGTCTACGTTAATCCTAAATCCTCTTGGAGTTAAAAGTCCACTATGGACTAGAGTCACATCACCTGTGAAATGATGTCACCTGGAACAATCCTCCGGATCACCCTCACTTCTGATGCCAGCTGTAGACTCTGGGGTCCCCGGGATCGTCCGCCAGGAGGACTCCCAGCACCCCCGGGGGGCATCACGCTCGCAGTCACGGTTTATCGCGGGGAAAGGACACACACCACCATCAGCCAGGGGTTGGGGCGCACCGGGCAGGGCCCAGGAGGGTGCAAACTGTCCCCTCCCCATGGGGCGGTGGGCAGCGACGTGATGGCACGCACCAGCGTCGCCAACCGGGGAAGCCCCCAGCCCCGGCGTGCGAGGCCTTTATCCGGCTTCTGTCGCGTAGACCCGGTTCACTGCCCGCGTGGCTGACCTCAGTCTCCGGCCCCTCGGGAGGCCGAGCCGATCCCGTGTGGCCCAGAGCCCCGGGGAAACAAGGACGCTGGACTCTGGATGTCCCCGGGCTTGGCGGTGACCTCCCAGCAGCCGAGGCCAGAGGCCAGACCTTCGTTGGGCAGGGTGGAGTTCACATCACCCCAAACGGTCCTCCATGTGGCCTTCTGTCCTCCGGCTGTCCACCGAGACCTCTCCCTCCCTCCTGCACGCGTGTGGGCCCTTGGCAGCTGCCTGTGGACCCGAGGCAGCATCCCCTGTGCTGGCTGTGGCTGGCAGCGATGGGCCTCTTCCCCGGGCCTCCCTGGGCCTAAACACTACGGTATGCCTTTCCTGTCTCTGGGCCCTTCCTCTGGCCTTCACCAGCAGACGGAGACAGTGGCCTGGGGGCGGCAGAGCCCTCGGAAGGTCCTGAGTAAGCAGATAGAGCCCAGCTGCCAGCCACATGTTTATGTGGCAGAAAATAAGCTGTTTTGTTTGTCGGGCCTCTTTGTTACAGCAGCTTGACCTCCCTCTGACCGCTACACTTTCCCCAGCCCCTTTCTTCCTGCAGTTTCCTTTTTTAAAAAACAATTGTTTTATGTCTATTTATTCTGAAAGAGAGAGAGACAGAGACAGAGACAGAGCACGAACGGGGGAGGGGCAGAGAGGGAGGGAGACACAGAATCTGAAGCAGGCTCCAGGCCCCGAGCCGTCAGTACAGAGCCCGACGCGGGGCTTGAACCCACAAACTGTGAGACCATGACCTGAGCCGAAGTCGGACACTTAACTGAGTCCCCCAGGTGCCCCTTTGAGGCAGTTTCCTAACTGCTGCGGCCAGCGGCCCATCCCCAACAGCACCTCAGGGGATATGCAAGGCCCAAGTCCCCACTGAGCTCTGCAGGGGCAGCAGGGCACCCACTGAGCACCCACTGCGGCCTGGGCACCCTGCCCACAGACCCTCACGCCAGCGCTATGGGCAGACTTGATTTTCTAGAAAAGGCATCCCTGGGAACTTGAGCTCACGTCCACGTGGCTCAGAAGCCCCCCACCAAGCTGGGTTGGCAGGGTGAGTCCCCCAGAGCTCCTGGATGCCCTGCCTCCAGTCCCAGCACTGATCCCCAAAAGGAGGCAAGCACAGCCCCTCCCCGTGCCTCAGTCTCCCCCACCCCCTAGTCAGGAGAGGAGGCTGGGTGGTCTGTGACAATGGATGGGCGGGACCGGGGAGGGGTGAGGCGGGCCCTTATGGGGAACATCCTGTGCCCAGACTCACTGGGGCTGGGCCCCTCCACCCCACGAGCCCCCCCTGCTCCGCCTTCCGCCCGGCTCTGAGGACACAGGGACTCAACCACATCTCCCTTACTTACTGCAAGTGCTCCGAGAGCCTGTTTCACAATCACCCGATTACCGGAAGTAACTTCTTATTGAAAAGAAAAGGCCCCTACAGTTTCCAGCCTTTGATGTGAGCTGTAGCCTGTCTCCGGGAGAAATCCCTGCCTCCCAGGCATCACCATGGTGCCCCTGCCTCCTGTTCCCGTCAATTTCCTCTCCCCATTCTTGTCAGAGCTGCCATTATTTAAAAGAAATACGAGGGAAGAATAGGGAAGAGGCTGCCTTTTCGCCACGGGAGCTCCGTGCTCAGGGCCGCCAGCCCTCTCCATGCGGAGGGTGACGACATTTCCTTGTGGCAGGTGTTGCTTTCTGCTCCGGCTCATTTCCTGCCCGCCCCGGGTCTCCCCTGTGTGCCCAGCAGGCCGCGTCCTCCACCACGATGCTGCATCGAAGCTCTAGCAGGGGCAGCCCTCCCCAGGCTGGGCGGGGCTCACACTCCCTGCCCCCGCCCCTGCCCCCGCCGCCTGGCCCAGCACCCCCCCCCCCCACTGCCGCCCCCGGAGCAGAGCAGCCCCTTTGGAGGGGCAGGACCTGTGCTGGGTACCTGACAAGCCCCTGTCCATGACTGTGGCACTGGGGCTGGTCACTTGTACACGTCAGCCTAGCTAGGGAACCGTCCCCGGGCATCCAATCAAACTCTCATGAAGGCCTTTTGCAGGTGTGACCGAAGCCTATAGTCAGCTGACTTTAGGTAAGGGAGATCATCACCAAGGCAATCTGGGTGGGTCTGGCTCAATCCGTTGATGGGTCTTAAGAGCAGAGCTGAGCCATCACCTAGGAAGAAGCTGTCCCACAGTAGCTCAGCCTGAGCCCGGCGGGTGGGGGGGGGGGGGGGGGGGGTCCAGCCTGCCCTACGGCCTATGCACTGGCCTAGCCGGGCCCACAACTGAGCAAGAAAACTGCTCACAACCAACCGCTCACCATCCGCCCCCACTGGGCCTGCTTCTCCTTGAACGCTGGCTGGAACAGGGGTTTGAGCCCCCACCAGGCTATCTCTCCCTCTGTCTTGGGGGCCTGGTGACCCCACAGAGGCAGGTGAGGCCAACCGCCCACGGGGCATCGAACGGCCCTCATGTCTCAGTTCTCGAACCCACGCGTGGATTAGATTAGTGATGCTATGCCCATTTTGCAGATGAGGAGACAGGCTTGGAGAGACAAAGTTTATGACCCAGGACTTGTCAGGGTCACCTCCCAGTGGGGATCTTGCCTTGTCTGGGTCCCCGGGGCTCGATGCCCGAGAAGACCCCCTTGGCTTCTAGCCCTAGGCCTCCGTGTGGGCTGAGCCCTGGCAGCAGACTTCTTAGGACACCCCCACCACACACACCCCAGCAGGCAGTGGGCGGAGGATTTGGGGGCACAGTGCTCAGCTCAGCTACGAGGGCTCCGCCCAGTCTCACCCACTGCCGGCCGCCTCAGGCATTCGCTTCTGTGGGGGGAGCCCCTGAGGCCCTTCTACCCTGAGGATCCAGGACCCTGACCAACTGGCCTGTGGGGTGATGGGCCTGTGCTCCCTAGGTCCCCAGAGACCCTTCAGTCTGCACTTGTGGGGGCTCCAGGGACCCACCACCCCGAGCTGCCTCCCTCCGCACTCCATGCCCGCCAACCCAAGTCCACAGAGAAATGACAGCGCGCACCGAGAAGTTTCAGTGTTTTATTAACAAAAACTTAAAAAGTCTGTCTTCAGGGAAGGTGACAGGGGGCTGCACACAGCTTGGCCTGACATCAAGGCCTGATCCACTGGGGACAGGGAGGGCTGGCCACACCCTCTTGAGGACCCTGGGGCCTCCCTGCAGCCCGTGCCAGCTTGTGAGTGTGGGTTATGGCTTATGTGCAAAAATAAAATCTGGGGGTGCTGGCAGGAGTGCATGATGTCGGGGTTGACAGAATCTTCTGCAGACACCAGTCTTCTGAACCTGGGAACCCCCACTGGACAGGTGGAAAGGAGGACCCCCAGCCAGGGCCTGCTGGGGCTACAGACCTGAGTGGCCAGTCTGCACCGGGGTGCTGGTGTTTGGAGAGGTGGGGGTCCGGACCCTGGCAATGGCGGGGCCTGGCAGAGAGCCCGCTTAAGCCCCAGGGGCAAAGGCTTCTGGGCACTGCTGGGGCTGCGGGCCTGGGGCTGCGGGCGGGAGCAGGGGCTGTGGCCTCGGCGTCAGAGCTCCCGGAAAGCTCTGGTAGGAGAGGACGGCCGCCGTGCCGTGGCCGGGGGTTCCTGGGCTGGAGCGAGGCAGGGCCCAAGGTGGCCGACCCCGACTCCAGCCGCAGCGGACCTGGGGGCGGGAGGGCTGGTGGCCAGCGGGGCAGGCCTGGCGGCAGGCCCTGGCCCTCACGCTGGCCCGTCTTCACCTCCAGCTTTCCGCCGGGCCTGTCCTCTCTGCAGCCCCTCTCGCCGACCTCAACGTCTCCTCGTGTGCAGGCAGCTTGCAGGAGGAGAGGGAGGGAAGTGCGAGGCAAGCAGCAAAGACTCTGTGGGAGCCTTGGGACCTGAAAGAAAGACACGGGGGCGGGGGCGCCCGGGCCGGCCCAGGGACAGGCCAGAGGCTGGGAGGAGCTCCGCAGGAAGGGTGTGGGTGGATGTTATGGGGCGGCCCCCGGCTTGCCCAGAGCGCCGCTGGGGGCCGCCGGGCCTGGGGCCCCGGGAAGGACAGCCGAGGGATAGGGTCTCGGTGGGAGAGATGGGGCCCCTTACCTGTCGTCAGTCTCCCGGCTCCTCAGCTGAGTGTGAGGACTCGGGGCCCTGTGGGACCCTCCGCCCGCCGTGGGTGAGTCATCGAGCCCAGCCGATCCTTTTCCAGGCTGGTGTGAATCACTGATGCTGAGGAGAAAGCACCGGGTCGGGTCGTGTGAGAGCTGGCTCAGCACTCCCCCAGCCCTCCTCCCCGATCCCTGGGGTCTCTGCTCCTTCCCCACCGCTCTGCGCTGCGGCCCCCCAACACCCCACCCCTGCAGCTAACTCGCTGGGGATGCCTCTGAGCCTCAGTGGGCTCATCCGGAAAATGGACGGGCCCTGGGTCCTCCCTACTCTACAGCGCCCCCCCCCCCCCCCCCCGGGGTGGTGCCGTGGGGCAGGGGCTCACCTGAGGGGCCAGGAGGCACCAGGACGCCAGGTCTGCTGCTGCTGCTGCTGCTGCTGCGTCTTACGCTTCAGTGTCCTCCAGGAGGAGGGGCCTCGTGGCCCGAGGCTGGCCAGCTGCCCGAGGCGGTGACGCGAGTGCCAGCCGGCCGCGCAGCGATTGCCAGAAGCCAGGGTTCCGGCGGCACCGGTCTGTCTTCGCGTCTGTTCCAGGGTGTCCCTCGAGCTTGGTGCGCACTGGCCTGTGCCGCCCGGACACTTGACCTCTGAATGCCCGGAGGGCCCAGGCGGCGGGCGGAATAAGGGAGCCTGGAAGTCGGGTCACGGCCTGAGAGTGTGCAGGGTGCGGATGGGGGCCGGGAAAGACAGACAGGAGAAAGGCAGGTGACGAGGCAGGGGCCCCGCAGGACGGGGGCGGGGGGGGGGGCCCCCTTGCCGGCGGGGGGGGGGGGGGGCGAGTGTCCACGTCTGGGTGACGCGTGTTTGTGCGAGTCCGGCCGGGAGGCGGAGGTGGGGTGCCCAGCGGGCGGGGGACGAGGGCTCCCCCGCACGGGGCTCGGCCCGGCTCGGACAGTCCTGGTTGGCAAAGGCCACGGGCGGGGGGTGGCGGGCGGGCTGCGGCCTGGGCCGCCCTCTATTCGGGCTGGGTCCGGTCGCTGGCCACAGACTCGCTGGTGAGGGCCGGCGTGAGGGCCTCGGCCTCCTCCTCGGCGGGCAGCTGGGGGCCGGCGGGCTCGGAGGCCTGGTCCAGGCCATCCTGCACCTCCTTGCCCCTCTGGATGAGCTGCTCCAGGGTCTTGGGCAGCGGGTGCCGCAGGAAGCGCTTCAGCTTGGGCTGCAGGGTGCCCACCACGTACTGGATGATCTCCTCCTCCTCGGCGTCCACGTACAGCGTCTGGTACAGGTCCCGCTTGCGCCACAGGAACTGGTCCAGCGGCTCCCCCTGTTTCTGCGGCAGGTCCAGCTCGCGCTGGATGGCCTCGCGGGACAGCGTGCCCTCGCTGTACTGCAGGAATTCCTTCTTGAACTCCACCCAGTTCTTCACGGAGCCCTGCTTGAACTCCCACCACTTCTTGGCCGGCCCGTTCATGTGGTTCTGGATTTGGGACAGCCAGTACTCCTCGGAGCCGCCCACCTGCCGCAGGTACTCCTCCAGGTGGCTGAGGAACTCCCTCGGGTCCTCGAAGATCTGCGTGTCCACGCCGGGCCCGGGCTGCCCGTCCTCGCCGGGCGCCCAGGGCGGGTACTGCTGGGCCTCGGCGGGCTCCTGCCCGGGCAGCTCGCCGGCGGCGGGGGGCGGGGTGATGGCGTAGGGGCTGACCGTGTAGTCGTACCCATCGGCGTCGTGGCAGTAGCCCTCGGGACCCCCGACGCCCACGGACACGGTGTGGCGGGCCGGCTCGCCGCCCACGGGGTACTTGCCGCCCATGGACTCCAGGCGGTCGGCCCACCTCTCCAGCCGGTAGAAGACCTCCCGCCACACGTGCATCTCGCGCTTGACCCAGCGCTCCAGGTTGGCGATGGTCTCCTGGCAGCGGCACAGGCAGGCCTTGATGGACTTCTTCCAGCGCTGCGAGTCGCCGGTGGGCACGTAGCCGTCCAGGTTGCTCTCCAGCTTACCCACCGACCTGTGCAGCCCCTTCAGCTCCCGCTCCACCTGCTTGGACACCTCGGTCAGCAGGTGCCGGTGGGTCCTCCGCACGTGCTCCAGCATCTCGGCCCGGCACTTACCGATCTGCAGGATCACGTTGGGCTTGGCGGCCGGCCCGCCCCGCGGCCCGGGGTAGGCGTGGAGGCCGCCGCTCTTCATGTGGTCCAGCTCCATCGGAGGGAGTGAGCAGGTGGCCGCGGCGCTCGGACGGGCGGGAGGCGGCGGGCTGCGAAGGGCCCCTGGGCCGGCGGCGCGGTGGAGCCGGGTCCTCGGTGTCCCCGGCGCGGGCGCGGCGGAGCGCAGGGAGAGCGGCGGGGAGCGCGGGCAGCGCAGGGAGAGCGGCGGAGAGCGGCCGGAGCGGCGGCGCCGAGCTCTGCGGCCAGCCGCCGGCG